CTCATTTGCTTAATATTGCCCACAGTTCTAGAAACTAGGATTAAAAGTTCAGCCCTTTGCAAAAGACAGAACAGGTAGTCAGGTCCTAACTGGCGAAGAAAGAGAATTTCTTACTTTGTCACCATTCATTCAGCAGGCTTTGGAAGTAGTGGAGGGAATAGAAGAGATTGAGGGGGATACAAGGATCATCTCTGAACCCTGGGGGAAAATGAAACACCTAAAAAATGAAATGTCTCAATTAAAAAGAAGTCAGCCTGGAAGGCAGGAGTAGGAGAGATTATGGGAAAAGTGTGATAAATCTGAAGACATTAGCAAATGTAAGCGGATACTGATATTACACTAATGATAATAATATTAATAGCAATGATAACTAACAATGGCTAACATTTATCAAAGATATAAAAATGCCAGGTATAACACTAAGTGCTTTACATGTATTATTTCACATTGGTGAGGAGAACTTTATCCCATTTTACAGATAAGGAAAGATGAGCAACTTGTTTAAGGCCACACAGGTAATAAGTGGCAGAGCCAGTTTTAAACCCAGGTCTGTCTGGCTTCAGAGTCCAAGCACTTAACCATTGCACAATCCTGACTCACATTCATATATAATAACATAAACACCATTATTTATAGTCACTAAGTACCCACATGTGAAAGTTAGTCTATGATCTATGATTAAGTTAACTTTAACAGACTCAAAGGAAAGCTGAGTGTTGATAGTACGATAACCCAAAGTTACTATGCAGAGACATATTATAAAGAGACTGAGTTCTTATTCTGAAGCAAGATGGCCTTTTAGTCCCTCTCTCTTTCTGTGTGTGTGTGTCAGCAGGGGGAGGGAGGGAGGATTCAACAGTATATATAGTTACTTGTCCCGATCACCAGAAGTGGGAGGTGACATTTGCTTTTGTTGTTCTATTGACTAATGTGTGGACCTCCTTGACTGAGACTCCTTCTCCCAGATCACAGCCAGTAGAACCAAAATACCTGCTTAACCCTGGAGTTCTTTCCATCTATAATCAGAAGGAATTCCCAGTTCTGCCTTGTTATCTAACCCAGGAACACCAAATTATTCATCTTGAAAAAAATCACATCAGCATTTAAAAGCCCTTTCGGAAAACAAAAAGATAAATATGATCATTTTGCAATATATAAAAATAACAAATCATTATGTTGTACATCTGAAACTGATATAATGTTATATGTCATATCTCAATTTTTTTAAAAAGGAAAGCGAATGAAAAAGTATTGGGAAAAAGAGAAAAATATATTAAATTATGAGTTTAAACCTTTAACATCCTTCATATTTTGCCCACATCTGTTCTCTGGCCAAGGCAAGGGTAAACAGGACTGGGTGGGCTGAAGGAAAAGCGTGCCCCTGATAATGCCCGAAACAGCATAGTTCACTCATATGTAATCAAGGCTTGACTAAAAACCACCTAAAACTGAGAGAATGTAGACGGCATATACACTGTTTAAGATAAAAATAAACGAACATAAATAATTAGTAAAAATAGTGTTTACTCTACTTTGTAGTTTATTCTTTTGTTAAAAAGAACATATTTAGCACTCTATCCAAGATTATGTCAGTAAGTCAGAAATATGAACTATCTAAGAGGGGCCAAAGAAATGGGACAAAAATATCAGCGAAAACAATGAACTATTTTGAAGAAAAGAGAGGTATGTCCCCAAAGGAGATATAAGAAAAACATCTTGACAGTATGACTTATGTTTCCTCTTCAAAATAACAGTCTATGTTTACCTCCTCAACTTGGTTTGGCAAGTTCTTTGCCAATGAAGGAAGCATGAATAGAATATGGTCCTCATCTCCTGGCCCCAGTTGTGTTTTGAAGGTTTCTGAAGAATTTTAGCCACATTTATAGAATATAAGGCATTTAAAAATTTTCATTACATCATTTCAAGTATACAAAAAAATGACAAAAATATGACTCTCCTATACTCTTTCCCCACATTCACCATTTATTCAATTATTTATACTTTGCCACATTTTCTTTGTCATTCCCTCTCTCTCACAACCACGTGAGAGTAAATAGGGAATGTCATGCCCTTTTATCCTAAAAATTTTAGTGTATATTTCCTAAAGACAAGACATTTTCGTATATAGTCATGGTTATATAATATTGATAAACACTACTATCTAACCCAGTCTACATTCAAATTTTATCAAATACCTCAGTAATGTCCTTTATGAAGTTTTTTTTTCCTGCTTCCAAATCAAACCCACAATCACACATTGATTGCATTTAGATGTCATGCATCTTTAGTCTCCTTTAATCTAGAATAGTTTCTCAGTCAACCTGTCTTGTGTTTCTTGATCTTGACACTTTTGAAGAATATGTTAGTTATTTTACAGAATGTTAACTTGGGTTTGTCTGATGTTTCCTCATAATGAGATTCTATATACGTGCAAATGCCTATCTATTCCCTAGTTCCTACCCCCAGTGATTAGTGAACATGGGTTCTGAAGTCATACAAGCCTAAATCCAAACCTAAATTAAAACTTCACTATTTCTAGCTGTGTGGCTGGCTAAGTTTTAAATTCCTAATCTGTAAAATGATGATTTTTAACAGATTTAAGGGATAGGGTTGCTGTGAAGAATTAATGAGATAATGCATCCAAGGCAACTTACCACAGATGGGGTGGGGTAAACTGTATCTTACATTCTCTGATTTTACCACAGTATCTCATACCCCAGCAACATTAAAATAATATTGGTTGATTAAGCAGCATCTCTATTGACTCCAGGTTAGAGCTGCCAAGAATGTGAACTTGTTTAGGGGAGTGCTAATGAATACCGTGACTAAAAGCAGGGTCAGGAGCTCAGGTGCAAAGCCTATCCCTTCCTGTCAACTCATTACTGTCAGTTCTAAGAAAAAAGAGAACAGCCAAATCAAGCAATTTTCTTATAGTCAAATTTTAATCTTCAACAATAACACTGAAAAATCTGGAAGCCCACAGTTAACATACCATTCTTACTTCACTTCCGTAATTCCCTTGCCCATAGCAAGAGGACAAGGGAGCTTGTGTGCAGAGCATTTCCAATCTATTGTTTTAGTACAATAATCTCATTCTCCCCACCTTCTCTTAGAAGACACCGATAAAATTATTCTATTTATGTTAAATCACTCTATGTCAGAGATTAAAACAAAACAACAAAAAAAGATTATAGTAGCTGAACCAATTCTTCAAAGTACAGAAATACAAATCCACTTTTGAGATTTGGAATCGAATTTAATTGGTATTTTTCTATGTTACTATCTCAAATATTTCACCATTTTTCTGTTTTTCCCCCTATGTCAATTAGAACTTCAAATGAAAGTCAAATGATCCCTAGGGGGAAGAAAAATAAAATGAAACAAACAAGTAAATTTCTGTGCCCCACATTTCAACCTGTGAGGAGGGGCCTCTAGCAAAGCAAATGGAAAATTAGGTTCTCATTATTGTGCCGAAATGAGGGTTTACATCTGTAGTATGAAAAGATAAAATAAAATTTTATTTTATTTATCTATTTTCTTTTGACGGTACCGCATGGCATGTGGGATCTTAGCTCCCCGACCAGGGATCAAATCCACGGCCCCTGCAGTGGAAGCGTGAAGTCTAACCACTGGACCGCCAGGGAAGTCTCAAAAGAAAATTTTAATGCGAAGTCTTTATTTTCATCAATGAAGAGTAAAAATATATAGTATGAACTTTAAGACAGAACTTCCAGTAATTCTGTCATTTATAGGACAGAGGCCCTAAGTCTGAGTCTGCCTTCAAGAAATACTTAGATTAAAATGAACTGTTTTAGAAATGGGAATTCTCAACCGGAGTTAAGTCTAAACATATGACAATGATGATGCTATACCCTGAAGGTCACTATTAACCTCTGTTCTTTAGGACCTAATGGCTCATAATTGGAAATTTCCAGAAAGTAATATATACTTTTGCAAACATCTTTAAATTTAGGGAGAAAAGTACTTCTCAGCCACTCCACTGCATCACCCATTAAGACCTTACTCAGTATTATGTTTAAAAGTTCAGTATATTTAAAACATTTTGAAAGTTAAGGTTAGAAAAGAATATGTAAATGCATGTAAATTCCACTATTTTATACTGTTTCCCTCTCCCTCTATAGGAAGATCAAGAAATGAGACTTCTCCATCATCATACATGGAATCCAAAGCAATATCATGAAGGGGAAAAAATCATTGGTTTGAGAGTTAAGACAATTCAGATTTAGATATGGCTCCACTATTAAAAGCTGTGTAACATTGGGAAAGTCATCTAATTTTCTTAAGTTTTGGTTTCCAAATCTAGAAAATGGAAAAATAGTATTAATCTTATAGGACTGTTATAAAGATTAAATAAGATAGCACATATGCAAGTACCCAGCACTGTCTTGTGTGAAACAGACTCTCAATAAATGTTAGCCTCTCTTCCTACCCTGTTACACACATCCTGTCCCCTGACACTTCAAAAGGAGTTCTCCTGAACACTTTAACTACAGCTCTGTTTTCTTCAGAACAGGCACTTGGCTCTTAATAGTGACAAACAGTCACGTGAAAGACTCCTGGGACCTAACATTGTCCTGGTGAAACAAAAAAGAGCTCACATTGGGAAACAGCACCAACTGCTTCAGGCTATGACAAGCCCAAAGTACAGTGTTACTTAACATCCTGAGAGCTCTGTGCTCTTTCAACATACTTTTTTTCTCCCTGCAAGGATCAGGCACACTATTTGCCCTCTCTTCCCTTCTTAATAGTAGTCTTTATTAAACAAGACCACCCAATGGATTCAAATACTAGGAATTAGAAAAGGCTAGGCTCAACCATGAAGAAACTGGCGAAGTCTCAGGACTAAACAGTAAGCCCTTCTTAACCTTTCAGAATCTGGATTTTTGTGCTTTCTGTTCTTGGAAACAGCAGACTTGCTGATGCTCTGTTACAAACATGTCTGTGTATTTCCCTCGCCTGCATTATCACAAAACTCTTACCATGTAGAAGACCTCTTGCTGAAGTCCAGAATCTTAGACTCTGCTTGTAATCCAATAAAGCAATGCTTCCCAACCTCTCCCACTTCATGGTATAGACAGACAACACAGGACACTTCAGAACTGAAGGGGCTTGAAAGTATTGATGGCTACAAAGGATCAAATACAAGCAGCATTGAGAGAAAAGGTATACAAAGAAAAACCCATTTGCCATGTGACTCAGAGACTTTTATCACATAAACATAATTGTTTCAACTCCAAGCTGCTCTAGGTCAATGTCCACACTCCTTCACAGGGCTGACCACCCATGTCAGACCTAAAGGAAAAAGTGGATTTCAGAAAGACAACCAACATTTGACTGGGGGCAGCAGGTTCTCAATGTAAAGACATTAAAACACTAAGTCAGTGAATTAGGCATGAGATACTTATTGACTGTCTTATATCTGCTAGGTATAGTTCTAAACACTGAGGATTCAGTGGTAAGCAAGATGGAGTCTCTGCCCTTGAGAAGCTAACATTCTAACAGGAAAAAAAGGCCATAAATTAAAACAATTTAAAAGGCAATTTCACTAGATCATGTAGATCAATATTTTTGATCTATAGTAGACATGTAGATCAAGACTTCTGACATTCAGGAATTCCCTGGGGGTCTAGTGGTTAGGACTCTGTGCTCTCACTAACAAGGACCTGGGTTCAATCCCTGGTCAGGGAACTAAGATCCTACGAGCCGTGTGGTATGGTCAAAAAAAAGAAAAAGACTTTTGATGTTCTGAGAAAACCGTTAGCCACTTTCCAGGTAGTTTACTCAAGGAGGTAAAGAAGACTGAATAAATTATAAGAGGCTGTCTCAGTAAAATTCATTTCTCACATCACTGTCTCCTTGCTACGGACTTAGCGTCATTGCCCCGTCCTTTGGTAACACATACAAAAGCAGGATGAGATCATTCATAGGAAGATAATGAAGACCCAGACAGCATAAAATTACAGAGCACAAGACCAGAAATCTCAAGATCTAGGATCTACTTCCAATTCTATCACTTAATATTCATGTGAACTTAGGTAATTCAGTTAAACTCCCGGAGCCTGACGTTCTTCATCCATTGTATCCCACTTTGTAGGGGTTTTAGGAAATTTAAATGAGGCAACATAATAAAAGAACTTATTTAAAACATTGGACAAATACCAACTATTATTGCCTAATCAAAATGTTTATAGGAAGGCAGATGAGAAAAGGGACAGTAACTACACTTAAGGCCAAAATGAATCCCTACCTCCGGTATATTAGCTGTTTTGAAAGCTTTGCTTCCATTCTATTGTCCCAAAGGGCTCACCCTTTGGAGCAAATGGATCCTAAAAGTGATGTCAAGTCTCAGACAGCCTTCTTCTTTTTTTTTTAAATAAAAAGTTTATTTATTTTTGCTGTGTTGGGTCTTCGTTTCTGTGCGAGGGCTTTCTCTAGTTGTGGCAAGCGGGGGCCGCTCTTCATCGCGGCCTCTCTTTTTGCGGAGCACATGCTCCAGACACGCAGGCTCAGTAGTTGTGGCTCATGGGCCTAGTTGCTCCGTGGCATATGGGATCCTCCCAGACCAGGGCTCAAACCCGTGTTCCCTGCATTAGCAGGCAGATTCTCAACCACTGCGCCACCAGGGAAGCCCCCTCAGACAGCCTTCTTAGTGATTACTCCCTATTCTGAGCTAAGGTCAGAACATTACTTTCTGAAAGGTATTTCATTTCTTGGTAAATTTCCCATGATTAAATATCCTTACTTTCTGAGTTATTTTCGCTGATTATTGTCAATTAGGAGGTAGGAGGTAAATATGAAGTGACCTTCCTAGCTGTTAAGACAGAGACTATCAAAGACCTTGATAATCTCTCCTTTCTTCTTAGAAGACTATCCTTTCATTTTCCTTGGGTATCTCCATAGCCATCATCTTAAATTCAATTGCCTATGGGGCAGAGGGCCAAGTAGAGACCCAAAGCAGGCTGGGGCAATATGGGGAGAGAGTAAGGAGTGGTGGGATTAAAGTGGTGAATACAAGTATCATTTAAAGGGATAATAATTTCTCAGCTCCAACCTCTTATTTGTAGAAAAGTGGGCCCGGTGTTGACCAATCTTTGTTATTTCAAAATTTCTAGAAACTTCATTTTTGTGTGACACCCCTGAAATTTTTATTTGCAAAATGCTCAGTCACCTAGGATAACTATAAATTCACAGTGCATATGCCTTCTGTCAATGAAAAGAGAAGTCATTTATTTTTAAAGTATTTATTGATGCTGATATATAATTTATATTATTTTGATTTGAGGAAGTAAATATTATGCTGGGCCTTGCAAGCTAGAGATAGGAGAGAGGATATTTAAGGCTAGGCAAACGTTATGTGCAAAGACACTGAGGGAGAAATATGCCTGGCATGTTGTGGGGAGGAAGGAGAATGGATAGACTTGCTTAGCTAAAAAAGAGAATTCCTTTAGAGAAGGAATGGAATGCAGATGGGAAAAAATTGTGAGAGACCTTGAATTCTAGAGTAAAGAGTTAAGATTTTAATAGATAACCTTTAAAAGATAAAGGCCATGATAAGGAGGGGAAATCATTGCATTTTGTATCTTGCCAAGAGTTATATGTTGCTATTCTTCACATCTTTTTCAAATTAGAGGATAAGGCTGAATGCTGACCCATAAAACTTGGAGTTCTGAAAAATTCCCAAATGAATGCCAGTTTAACCAACCACACTATAAGTCAATTCTGTTGGCACTGTGGTGGTCAGGGCTTTCAAAGCAAAACTTAAATGATCTCTAAAGGGCTATTTCTTTCTGATCAATAAAAACATTTAGAATTTAAAACTCAAAGAAAGGGTTACTGGACAGTTTGGCAACATTGTCAGGTTAAGCATCAGACAGACTGCCTGTCAACTGGCAAGAAGCTGGATAGGGAAGGCTGGACTCATAAAATTCTTCCACCAGGGGCAGTAGCCCCTGAATGCACCACTATTCACCTACATTCAAAATGTAGAGAATGCCTCTGGCAGCTCATGTTTCAACCAGAGAGCCATTTCTCTTTTCTTCTGCAACAAATGACTATGGGGCTCTCAGTCTAACTGATATTCTCAGTAAAGTTCCTAGAGACAAATGACCAAAAGAATAGAGCTATGGACTTTCACCATGACCTGTTACACTAAAATACCAAACTAAATGGGCTTTGTTCTTTTAGACAAAACATCTTAGGAAGCAGAGTAAAAAGATCATATATACATAACTAAGGAACTTAAACTTTATCACAAAGGTAATACAGAAACCATTAATGATTTTTGGCCCGATAAATATCATTATCAGGAGATTTTAAGGAACACTAACCTGGTGGTACTATTCAAGAAAGACCAAAGATAGGGAGACTAACTTAGGCAAATGCACAGAGTTGGGAATGAGCATGGTAGGTCTGTAGGACAGTGAGGAGGCCAGGCTGGGCCTTTCAGGGCTTATGAAACCATCAGGAACCGTTATTATTCTCGCTCACATACATGCAAACTCGCACACAGACACATGTGCACCCCCCAACCACCCCCCCAACACCTTAGTTCTAGTCTCTTCTTCCCAGAAAACCAATTCTGCAATATACACATGATCCACATAATTACTAGTCTAATGCAAGCTCTATGTGACCTCTCAGCTACAATGCTCATCACCATCTGGCAGCTTCCCTACATCAATAAGTTGAAAATCCTGAAAAGAATCTATCTCAACCCAAAACCATAGGCTCTGCCTGAGCAGAGCCGGTTACACCAAACCATGTCACAAATACCTGTTTAGACTATGGATGAGCAATCATTGTTCAGGGTTCCCTCTGATCTAATTAACTGGGGATCAGTGGGTAGGGATAAAAAGCTGGCATGGTTTACTACTCACATAGCAAGGACTATAGGGAAAGGAGTTTCTCTTAGGTCAGTTGGCAGGGTAGCACAGGCAATGATAGACATTTTTTGCTATAGCTTGGGAAGAGCAGAAAATAAGCTACCCTAGGGAGAGCACAGAGAACTTTTAAAGCCAAGTGATGTGATAGTCATTTAAGATTAGCAAACATGTAAGATTAACTGGTACCCGATGGAAATAAATTGTTCATTTGACTAAATATGATGCCTGTGTATACCCTGATTTAAGCAAACTACCATATATGTAAAAAAAACTTAGTTTCACACAAGTGGAAAATGATGGTTCATTTTCTAAAGTTTTTTAAATTAGCATTTAAATATAATGCCCTAATGCTGAAAAATTATTAAAATTTTAAAAATTTGATTTTTATGATTTTCTAAGAACTTATATATTATTTAGCATGAATAACATTCACTTCAAAATTATATCTAAGTTTAATAAGTTCTATTTAGGTTTAATATTTATATATTGCTATGTAATTTGGAACCTAAAATATTCAATACAAACCCTAAACAAAATTAGCATAGGCAAGGAATGTGATAAGACAAGCAAGGATTTAAATAGACATTTAAACTCAAAGCAAGCAATTTAGCCCAGACTCTGACAATCATATAGAAATAGATTTTCTGTATTTCTTAGTATTTTGTACAATTCTTAATCTGCTATACTGTATATATTTGCTTTCTTTACATGACTGTTTCCTGAAACTAGAAAACAAACTACGTTTGTTTACAGCTGTATCTCTAGCACCTAGAATTGTGCCTGACACAGAGCAGGCACTTCTAAATTATAAAGAGCAGCTGGTGGGAAGGCTAGAAGAATGGAACAAACTAAGGGAAGTTTTGAATTCTGTCAGCCTTTATTAATGTCCTACAACAGTTTCATAGGAAAGAATACAGGTAGAACACATACTTAAAATTTTTAAATGTTTAGAATAGTTTACTACAGACAATAGAAGAATCCATTTCTATCTACATTGCTGATTTCAGGAAACACATCCAAAGATAGCAACTTTTTCCTGAGTTTTTACCACCTATGAAACAAAACTATTCTTTCTAGTCATTTTTTTAGTTGTAGTAGGAAGATGAATCAATTCATGAAACTGACTTGCTCAATCAATTATAAAATTCCAGTAAAAGTTGAAAGCTAAGACTACTACTACATGCAAAGTTATTAAGGTGTGACTGTGTTCTATATAGTCTCCACTGACAACAAGTCATGATCG